GCATCTGGGTCAGGCAGTTCATATAAAAGAGGATATGAGGGAGGAGCCGAGAGTGAGGCAGGGTTGAATTAACGTTAGCAACTTTTAAAAAATTCTGATGTTGTTTCAAGCAATTTTTTGGTTGATTTCCCACAAAGAAGTTAGTTTATCATTTCCTCTTCCAGAAGTTTTTAAATACCAATCAAAATAAGCATTCCATTCAGTCTGCTCTTTAACTGTAGACACACACACAAAAATTAATTTTGGAACGTGAAAAGAGCCCCAATTTGGCCATTTTAGGTTGGGGTTTCCTTTAGTATATTTTCCCCAATTAAGTAAGCATTTGTGAGTATAATTTTCACAGGTAGCATACATGAACCAAGCTGGGGTGTTAGCTGGAGGTTGGCAATCTGTTGCTCCTTTTTTTTTTTATTTTGAAAGCTTTGTTTCCCATTCTGGGTTGGTTTGTCAGGATGAACTGCTACGGATGATTGTGTGGTGGGCCAAGGTGCTGTCTGTGAGCTTAACTCCTCTAGGTGTCACCCTAGAGTCGTTTCAGCTCTTTTACATGTCTTGGCTTTTCCCTTTGGCAATCTAAGACCGCCGTGGTTGCTCAGATCACTGAGTGGCCAGCTCTTATACGTGGTTCCCCAAAGGAGCAAGTTTTTTAAATTAAATAACTGGGTTTCCCTATGGGACTGCTACCTGGTATGAGGACTTGCCTCCACCACTCCTGCAAGTTTCTCAGTTGCCTGAGAAAGCCATTGCTGGCCAGGAGGAGATGTCCCTTTTCTTCTTCAGAGCTGAAAACTCTCATGTAACATTTTTACTTTTATTCTGACAAACTCAATTAAAGTCACCAATTCGAGGGAAAATAACAGGTCAGTCTCCTACCTAATCACTCAGTCTGAACCTACTTAGTATTTTTCAACTGGGGCAACCCAGGTACCTCTTCTTGAAACTAAGTTCAAGGAAGACCTACTCCTCACAGGGAGGGGTTTATCCACCACCATATAAAACTTAGGATCATCAGCCAATAACGGGAGATCCAGGACCCAGGAGAGACTCAACCAAATTCATCTGGAATCACTGACGATGCAGACAGGCACAAGGGGCCTCTGCTAGTACCAAGACTCTGGATCCTCATAGAGTTCAAAGGAGAAAAGTCTTCTCTGAATCCTTTCATGGTCACCAAAACTGTTGACTGAAAGAAAAATGCACAACGTAAAAGTTGCGAGTTAAGTTTTATTCAGGGACCTTACTGAGGACTGTAGCCCAAGAGACAGCCTCTCAGATACCTCTGAGGTATCTTATCCAAAGAGCTAAGGGAGGCGCCAGGGTATATGAGTTTTTCTGCTGGAAAAACAAAAAAACACATAGTCAAACATCAAGAGATAATCACAAAGAACACACATCTCACGCTAACAATTTTAGTGTTTTTCTTTGTATGGGAAGATGCAAGCATCTGAGTTCATTGAAATTATTCTTTAGATACGCATTTTAACTATCTAGAGCCAGTCAAAGCACAGAATGCTTCCTGAATTTCCTTCAGGGTGAACTGTCAGTGGGCGACTGCAGTGGCTAATGGCCTAATCCTTGCAGAACTGGAATGGCAGGCCCTAAAATTCATTTGGAAATTTGATTGATGCATGAAACCCCAAAGTCTTGAACCACATAAACTATGTACATGGGAGGGTTTTGTTTTGTTTTAATTCTAGAGTTTCTACTATGCACTAGGGATATAAGGGAACATGGGAATAACTAAACTACAGCTTCAGAGGCTTGGATTCAAATCAGAGCCCTGCCTTTAGGCAAGTGAAGTAAACTTTTCTGAGCCTCGGTTTCCTCATCTAATGAGGATAATAAGAGTGCCTACCTTATGTAACACACTTAGTCTAGAGCTAGGCACATGTGAGTGTATTATCATTTTTATCTAGGCAACAGGAGAGCCATAGTAAACAACCACAGGCTATGGAAAGGTGGCTGAGGAAACAAGGATGGGGTAATAAATTCCACCAGAGTATTGGTTTCATTGTTGTTTTTGAAGTCCCTAACTTCCAGCCCAAAAGAGTACTTGTGTTCATTTCCACCAGATTATATTGGGTTGGCCAAAAAGTTCATTCAGGTTTTTCCGTAACATCTTACAGGAATCCAACTTTTTGGCCAACTCAGTACAACCTCAGGCAAAGCATTCCCCGGCTGTCTGCCTCAGTTCTCTAATCTATTAAAGAGGGGCAATTCTTCCTAGTCCATAGAGTAGTGGAACTCAAACTCTGGCCAGTATCAGAACCACCTGGGGAACTTGGTAAAAATAGAAAGGCTCGAATTCTCCCTACTTCAATAAGTCTGGGTCTTTGTGTGCTTTACTATCTCCCCAGGTGATTCTGATAACACACCAACTTTCCAAACTGCGATAAAAGAATAAAAAACACAAGATTCTCTGTTTACTTTAAAGGGTCATAAAGATTCTCATTATTTAAATCCCATTTGTTCCACCTTCTATGGAGAGGTCAGGCAGTTCAGGCTGTCCTCACATAAGTTGTATGTGCCCCAACCCAAAAGGAGCTGGACCTGCATCTCAGCATCCAGTGGGAATGAAAAGCACAGGCCCTGGGGTCCTCAGTCCCTTGGAGGCCCTCTATAATCTAGTACCTATTTCACCAAGGGGGAAAGGGGAGCAATACCTTTCCCAGGATCACAATGGTAGAGCTGTAGTGGAACCCAGAGCTACAGTTGCCTGGACCAGTGTTAGAAGGGCTTATTTTGGAGGCTCTCATCCTGGAAGAATCCCTCTTGCCTGCTGACAGGTGGTACAACAAGTTGGAAGTCTGCAGGCTGTGCCCTGCAGGTTTTCTTGTAGGTGATGATATCTGGGAAGGGCCCCAGCCAAATTCTGATATTCTAGCAGCCCTGTTCCCAAAGGCTTGAAGATTAACTTAGGTTTCTTCTCCAAACCTGGAGAGGAAAGCAAGAACTAGTCTTTTTTTTTTTTTTTTTTGGCCGCACCGCATAGCTTGTGGGATCTTAGTTCCCTGACCAGGGATTGAACCTGGGGCCACCACCGCAGTGAAAGCACCAAGTCCAAACTACTGGACAACCAGGGAAGTCCCAAGAACTATTCTTTTTTTTTTTTTTTTTTTTTTTTGTGGTACGTGGGCCTCTCACTCACTGTGTGGCCTCTCCTGCTGCGGAGCAAGTCTCCGGACGCGCAGGCTCAGCAGCCATGGCTCATGGGCCCAGCCGTTCTGCGGAATGTGGGATCCTCCCAGACTGGGGCACGAACCCGCGTCCCCTGCATCTGCAGGCAGACTCTCAACCACTGCGCCACCAGGGAAGCCCCCAAGAACTATTCTTTTATCTGAACATCTCAAGACAATCTTATTTACTGATCTTGTTGCCTGAACAAGAAAAAAGATCTATCGGTGGATCAGATCTGAGATTAGCATCACATTATGGAATCTCTGCCGCCCCACAGGCCAGGAATACTGCCACGTAAATGGCGCTGGACAAGGGAATAGAGGATGTTTCTCAAACCACAGTGAGTGTTTCAGTTGATTCAGGGCAAGAAACTTGAAGAGTGGGGCAAGGATTCAAACCAATAGGTCAGTGTAGTGGTCAAAGCCTCAGCCTTCAGAGATAGAAAGATCTGACTAGGGTAGAGTTTGGGCTCTGCAGAGGATTTGCTGTGGCCTTGGGCAAGCTATTCTTTACTTCCCTGAGCCTCAGTTTCCATATCTGTAAAAACAAAATAACAGTGCTACCCAGAGAAGTAGACAGGCTTTGTGGAGTCTGAAGCTTATACCACTGGGAAGGGGATTGGGGGTAGCAGTAAGGGGTGGAGAGAGCCTCTTTAAGAAAAAGAACACAAAATTACAAATTCAAAATTGCATGTAGGACCTTGGAAAGGGTCCCGTGTGAGGGAGGGGCCCAGACAAATCTGTCTCGAATGCTACCAGTTAGCTGTGAGACCATTTAAATAAAGCTCGTGGCAGATGAGATGATGACGTGGGGAATGGTGTGGCTTGAGTAAATGCTATAATTTTGAGGGAGGAGGAAATTTTGGCCCATTCATCTGTCACTGAAGCAGAGATAATGACAGAGAACGGAAACCTCCAAAGCCTTCTTTAGCAGCAGAGTTCTGTCCTGACTGCCACATGTGACCTTAGGCAACTCACACCCTCTCCTGCGGCCAGAGCTAGGCTAAGGGTTGAACAATCTCTGCCTCTCCGTCCCTTTGCAAAAGAATCCCCACTCCTCTCTCCCTGGAGCCTCACAGAAGCTAAGAAGCAGTTCGAGGTGAGTAAGTGCTCCTTTTTTTCCAGCTTAAGAAAGGGAGCTCCCAGAAGGATGCCTTAGAGCAGGCATGCAGCCAGTGAGAAGCAGAGCCCCTGCCCCAACGGAGGTGGCAGGGCGGGATAGATATTCTCTTGGATGTAGAAATAGGTTATTGGCTAAAAAGCCTGACGCGTTGGGCTCTCGTCCCTACTCTGTCACTTTTTTAGCTATGTGACCTTAGGCAGGTCCCTTTAGTTCAGAGCCTGATTTCCTCATTAGTTAATTTATAGGACTAAGTGAGAAAATATAGGTAAAGCACTTAGAAGAGCATCTATCCCTTAGTGAAGTGATTAATAAATAGTAGTTATCAAAATGATCAGTGTCGTAGTCGCTGTTGCCGTTACTGTTGCTAGGTAAGCGGGGATGACTCCCTCCGCAGTGCCCTCCCCTCCTCTCCTCCTCCTCCTGGCCATTGCTCCTCTTCCACTGGGCTTCTTCGGGGCAGGAGGCGCACCCTCCGGCGGAGGTGGGCGGGGCCTCGTTCCCGCTTGGCCAGCGCCTGCTAAGGGCACAAGCCGCAGCTGAGCTGGGGTTTGCACCTGACTGGACACCTTCCTGCTCAGTGCAGACCCCACCATCACCGGGAGCCCTCTCTTTGTGAACAGCCATGTCCATGACAAAGAGTGCCGGGGGTCCCCAGGGAGCTGTTGACCTCAAACTGGACCTCAAGCCCTCTTCCGAAAGTGCCAAGAAGTTGCAGAACAAGGATTCCAGTTTCTTGGATGGAAGCCCTTCTGAGTCGCCGGACTTGGAAACGACCAAGGGCATAACGTGAGTGCTCTTTTCTGCCATCCCCAGTTCTGCCTTCCAGCCTGGAAGCTTGCAGTGGCAAAAACCCTGAGGCAGGTGTGTCTGACCCCCAACCCATCATGCAGCCTTGGGGAAACCAGAGCTGCAAAAGGTACAGTCAGAGACTGAGTCAACTTGAGAACTTAAAGGGGCAGGAGGGGAGACTGTCAGAAAGCCCTTAGGATAGAGTGTTGTAGCCCCCAACATGTGCAGGTGGGGAAACTAAGGCAAGTTACCCCAGGCCACGCACTGGCTCATTGGCAGGATGGGGGCTGGACTCCAGTGCTGGCCCTAGAGTCTGTCTGTCTGTCTGTTTGTTTCTTTTTAATTGAAGTATAGCCCTAGAGTCAGTTTTGCTCCTGGCCAGTCCTGATAATGTCCGGGAGAGGGGCAGAATCCCCAGCCTCTTGGTGGAGAAGGTGACACTTGAGCTAAAACCACAGACAACCAAGCATTGCCTCCTTCCTGCAGTTACCCGGGCCTGTACTTCCATTGACCACTGCAGTGACAACATCAAAAGCACAGTATGTAGAACAGTCTAGTTTCTTCCACCTCCCTGGGGTATGTTTGGGGGGCAGTGGGGGGGTCACTCATGAGGCTTTCAGACCGTGATAAGGAGAGGTATACTGAAAGGGTTTCGGCAGGGAAGCCAAGCTCCAGCTCCCTTCGCCTCCACCATTCAAGCAGCGTGGCTAGTTCACTGAGGAAAATGGGAGGGGCGACTGGCTGGCATGGTGGTCAGGTTCCACAGCTTGATGACAAAAATGTTGACCCTGTCGGAGTAGTGGAAAGGTCACTTGCATCCAAGGTGTGAGTCTGCTCCTTCTTTCTCGAAGCCTCAGTTTTCCCCATATGCAAAATGGGGACACATTGTGAATTTAAGGAGGTTGCCTGTGGCAGTTACATCTGAAAGGTTGAGTGTTGTGTGGGTCGGGGGAGAGTGTGCAGCAAGGAGGGAGAAAGAGGCAGGCAAAGCTCCTCCCACTGCCACCCTGTGGGACCATTCAGGGATGGACACAATGAGTGACGTTATGACCGGGTTCACTTGCCCCAGGACTAGTCCCCCAGGGTTGCTAAGAATTCAGGATCCTGAGGGTGAGATCTCCAGGCCTTGGGGCCATCCACTACTGAGGTGGGCTATTTCTCCATCGGAGGCCTTGAGGGAACCAGTCCTGAACGGTTGGGTTGGAATAGTGACATCTTATGGAAAAACCCAAACGAAATTTTCGGCCAACCCGATAAGATATGGTTTGATGGCAACTTTAGCTACTTAAGAATCAAAGAAAGAAAGCAAGTCAGAACTAGCTCCTGGCTTGGAGGGAGGTAATAAACAGGTTGGGTAAGCATGGTACCTATGGAGTTAGCTCACGGGGGTTTGAATTCCTACTTTAGCTACTTACCAGCCTGAGCAAGTGATAGAACGTAGTACTCTAGTTTCTCCTCTGTGAGATAACAGTTGGCTCCTTCCCAGGGTGGCTGCAAAGACAATTTGTGCAGGAAGCCCCCAAGCTTAATGCCCGTAAGCCGACTACTGTGACTACCGTGACGTTCTGAAGTCACCAAAGGAGTTAAGGCTAGAACCCAGGTCTCCTGCCTCCCAGCCCAGTGCTTTGCACAACTCACCACATTATTAAGTTGTCTGAGTGGCCCAAAGTTAAATTCAGATTTCCTAAGTCCTTTAGTTAGAAAGTTCCAAGTGACCCTTTGACCCTAGTTGCAAAACAAGTCCATCATTGGAGGGCCGTGGGGTGCAGTGCTCAATCAGCGATGTTGACACCCACAGGGAGAGAGAAAGGGACGCAGAGACTCTCCACCCTCTTTCTCCCACAGTTTTTCTCTTTAACCCTTAACAAATAAATGGGCAGATCCTCAGGAAGCTAGAGGATTCAGGGATTAATATAAAGAACATTTATATTAATCCCTGAATGTTTGAGGCAGTTCTTCCAAAAATATTCCTCCTAACATTCATAGAGGCTCAGCAAAGTGGACATGTTGCCCAAGATAACACAGCTAGTTAAGTAGTAGATCAAACCCATGCCCCCGAAGTAGAGGTGTGGAGTCTTAACCACTGGACCACCAGGGAAGTGCAGCCTTGGGTTTTAATCCCTGGTTTGTCCAACCCCAGAGACCAGGCTCCTTCCATAATACCTCTGCTGTTCTTCACAGTAAGTCTCTTCACTTGGAAGGCTCTCATGGGGAATTTCCAAGGTTTCTCAAGTTATAAATGTTAACCCGATACTCATCTTAGTTTAACCTTGTCCAGGTACAAAGAGGTGTAAAAATAGGTTGTTTAGTTAATTCACCACCAGAGAGCATACCTCCCTAGATCTTTACCCCGGCTGGCTTAGACCTTGTCTTCTGTCTTAAAAGTCTGAGTGTTGGGTTTTGTTTTTGCCGGAGGTAGGAGGAGACTTGCCATTCCCCAGTTTGAGGTCCTGGCCTGAGGGAAAAAAAAATCCCTCTGGAGCCCAAACCCTAAACAACCCTGTCCCAACAGACCCCATCTGGGGACCAAGTCATTTGACCTCTTCATTAGTCATAATGATTTCTCTTTGCTGCCTGCCCTTTCTCCTTTTCTATGAGTTCAGTCCTATATCTGCTACCAGTATTATGACCTTGGGCTGTTCGCTGCCCTCTCTGAGCCTTATTTCCCTCAATTATGAAATGGGGCTGTCCCTTTAACCCATCTCTCTGGGCTCCTTTCCGGGGGGCAGTCCAGTAGAAGTGGGATGAAGAACAAAGACTCTGAGGCAGTTCTGGGTTCAAATTCTGGCTCCCCAGTATATCCTTAGATAAGTCATTTTTTAAAAATCTCTATTCCTCAGTTTCCTTATCTGCAAAATAAGGGCAATAACCTGCTTCCTTGTCTTGACAAGAGGATTAAATGAGATAATACATGTAATCCTTAGCATAATATCTGTTATATAGTAAGTGTTCTAATGGCATATATTGAGTGTTAGCTGATAAAACCAGGACAGTTCTGGGCAAACTGGGATGGTTGGTCACCCTACACGAGACCCAGAGTGCCAGCAAAGGCCGTGGAGACTGAGAGACAACCAGGAGCCCACCTATCCAGCTCAGCTCAGGTGTGGGCACGCTGGGAAAGAATGCCTGTTGGATCTCCTCACCTCTGCACACCCACATGCTCATGTCTTTTTCCTCTCCTTTAGAGCATTCCAGGCCTTGGTTCACCTGGTGAAAGGTAACATAGGCACAGGGGTCCTGGGACTACCCCTGGCTATGAAGAATGCAGGCATCCTGGTAAGAGGGGCTGCCACAGGTGGGGCCAGTACAACTGGATGGTCGCAAGGAGGTAGGAGGACAGCCTCTAAAGGTTTATAGTGGCCTACAGTGAGCAATCTTTCTGAAAGGCTGCTTGGTCCAGACTTGGAGTCTAGATATCTAGCCTAGGTTTGAGTTCTGACCCTGCCACAGACTTTGAGTGGCGCAAGTCAGTTGTCCACTGTCCAGGCCTCAGCTTCCTCCCCTGTGGAAGGCAAGGGTTGGACTATGACTAGTTTTCCAGCTGTGCTCTGTAGAGCACTAGCTCTCAGGGGCACCTCAGAGGCCACTAAGGACCGCAGTTCTGAGCCCTTACTCCTTCCACAATACCCCATCGTGATTGCCTTTTGCACTTTCCCAGAGTACGACTTGAGAGCATCTTTGCAAGAATAGATAACATTTTAAGTCAAGTATACTTCAAGAAAGAAAAAAGAAAAGAAAGAATCGCTGTTACTGCTAAAAAGGGTTTGCAAACCAGTTTGCTAGAATATTCTTTGAGTCCGGAATAATATCTGCACTACCAAATCTCTCCTGGCCGAGTTATTCACAAGTCCATTCTCTTCTCTCTTCCCTTGCCCCTTGGCCCTTCCTCCAGATGGGCCCTCTCAGTTTGCTGGCCATGGGCTTCATCTCCTGCCACTGTATGCACATCTTGGTCAGGTGTGCCCAGCGCTTCTGCCACAGGTGAGGAAAACACCGTCCTCTTGTCACTTCCTTTGGTACTTGGTTCTCAGGGACATCCCAGAAGCATCCCACATATAACAAGAGTTCAATTCTTAATTTCTTCCAACAAGGCCAAGAAAAAGAGAAAAGCATTTGGGGCAGGGACCTAAATGAAGCTCTACCACATGACTCATTAGGTGATCTCAATCAGGCCATTGTGCTTATCTGCTTGGCTCATCTATAAATTGGGCATAAACAATCCATGCCTAACCCTGCCTCGGAGAATTGTCATGAGGATCCAATGGGATCAAGGATATGAGAACTACTGTACCCATGCGAGGTGTGTATTATTACCCATGTTATATAGTCACCATCCCACTTGACAGGTAAGGAAAACAAGCCACCAAGGAAATACCACCAGGTGTCAAAACCTGAACTAGAACTTGGGTTTCTGCCCCAGTGTTCTTTCCGTTCTAGCTGGGTTCTGTCTTGCTATGTGTCTCCTGACTTTTCAGTATATTATCTTAATTTAAACTGCCTCTTGATAACTGTACGCAGTCTCTCCTGCAGACTTAACAAGCCCTTTATGGACTACGGGGATACGGTGATGCATGGACTAGAAGCCAGCCCCAGCACCTGGCTCCGGAACCACGCACACTGGGGAAGGTACCTTGTTCTTGCTTTGTCCAAAGTAGGGAGGACATGTGGCTCTCAGGGATGCTCTCTTCCCTGGAAAGTTGGCTCGTGTAACACAGAATGCTGGACTTAACATGAAAGGGATTCAATGGCAGTCTTCCTGATCCAACCCCACTTCTTGTATATACAGGGTTCTCATTCCTTTGCTATGCAACTTGAATATCATTCACTTTTTTATTAAACCACATTTATCTAGCTGTGACTATGTACCAGGCCCTAGAAATACTGTGGGGAACAAGGCAAACAAAGCTTTGCCCGTGCAGAATCCATAGTCCAATGGGAAACAGAGACCTTAAACAGTTTAGGACACAGTTACTTAATAGCCACTGGGATAAGTACCATGAAGGAAAGAAGTACTAGTTGCTACCAAGTAGGTAAGGAGATGTACATAGGTTCAGGTAGGCTTCCTAGGATGGAACAGTTGAGATGAGTTCTGAAGGAAGGCATTCTTAGGAATGAGGAATTACCTAGGGAAAAGTGGGCAGGAGCCTGAAGGGCCTTCCAGGAAGAGGAGCAAGCTATGAGGTCCTGAAGCAAGAGGGAGTATGTGACAGTTTCAGGGTAAAGAACGACCAGGTAGCTTGAGGGCAGATAGGGAGATGATGCTGAAGAAGGATCCAAGGGCCCAAACAAGCTGTACATTTTAGACCCTCTTCAAGGTCTTGTTCTTTTCTTAAAAGCAACCAGGAAACCATTGGAGGGTTTTAATCAGAGGCTTTCCTGTTTTAATCATATTTGCATTGTCTGAAGATCTGTCTGGCTTCTGTAAGGAGAAGAGATTGTAAGGGAGCAAGAATAGACTTAGACCCATGAAGAGGCTGTTGACAATGTCCAGGCAGGTGACAGTGATGGCTGGGTCCAAGCTGGTGGCAGTGGGGATGGAGAAAAGTGAATTTGGTCATGATTTGGGCCCCAGGGTTGTGGGGAAAGGAAAGAAAGAGTCGGGGTTGACTCAGGCTTCTGATGACTTCTGTTTTGCATATTCAAGCAGAGATGTCAAGTGGGTAGTTATATGTGTAGGTTTGAACCTGTCTTCATGCAGGAGACACTGAAGTCATCAGCTATGATGCCAGGGGACAGAAGAGGTCTCTTAGGGAGAGAGTATGTAGTGAGAAGAAAAGAGAGGAGAAGACCAAGACGTTGAGGGTTCCTTGGTGAGCTGAAGTCTACCTCCTGCAACCTCCACTTTTTTGCTTTTGGAGATGATGGAAACAGTCAACGCCTTCTGTCTCCTGGTACTTGGGACTAAATCTACCCTTTTGTCTTTGTTTTCCCACCTCTCCCCACCCTGTCTGTCTACTCTTTTCTACTCACCTCTAGATTATCAAAGTCTCTCTTGAACTGTGATACCCCAAACTGCACTACCTGAGGCGTGCCTTGCTCATGAGCATCATGGGTCTGGCACGTCTCTTGACCCAAAGCCCATTCACATACTGAATTAATAAATTCAGCCTATGAGCAGACTAGGAAGGCTATGGGATGATTTCTAGTATTTTCCCAACTGTGTGACCCAAGAGGTGGCTTTTGCCTGTCGCAGTGCGTCAGATCCTTCTACTTATTGTTGGGCATGTAAGGTAGATTTTCCTGCTCTATTTAGGAATTTCACTCCACTAATTATCTCCTCTCCTATAACTTGAACTTCTTTTTTGAACTATGGGCTCTTCCTCTCAACATTGAAACGTGTTCATGTATCTCCATCTTAAAAATAATAAAATAAATTAATAAAGCCTCCTGGACCTTATACCATCCTCTATCTCATATTCATTATCTGATTATTCAACAGATATCTACTGAATACCTGCAGTGTGTCAGGAAGTGCTTTAGGCAGTGGGTTTACTACGATGAACAAAACGGGCACCTTCAAGACTGGAACTCACACTCTAGCTTTATGAAAGAATAGCCCACCCTCTAATTTTACATCCATACACCCCATTCACACCTCCTTCATGGGTCACCTGGCTTTCCTGTCCTATACTTCTACTGAAGTCCTTTCCACCAATGTCCTAAAAGACCTCCCTATTGTACCTTCTTTGCCCTAGAGAACCTCTCAGCAGCAGTGGGTACAATTGACTGTTCTCTTCTTCAGACATTCTCTCTTCACTTGGCTTCTGTTAAACCCTTTTTCATCCTAGTTTCCCACCTACCTCTCTGGTCATTGCAGGCTTCTTTGTTTCTGTCCTCCCTTTAAATGTTGGTGTTCTCTAGGGTTTGGAATGCTGCCTTCTCTTCTCACTCTGCACACTTTCCAACACTAATTTGCCTTCTCAAGGCTTTATCCATCACTGACAAATCAACATTTCCACACCCCAATATGTGGTTGTCTCCTGAATGTCTCCTGTAGGAACCTCAAGCTCAACAATACAGGTACTGAATGTGCCATTTCTTCCTCTTCCCCTAAAACCTGTTCTTCCTTCTGAGTTTCCCAGTTCATTTTGTTGTCCAAGCTAAAAACTTGTCACTCACCTTAAGTCACTTCCTTTTTCCTTCCCCTAGATGTAGGTGGTCACCAGGTTCTGTAAGTTCTAGTTCCCTAGTATCCCTTAAAATGCTTTCAGTTCCCTCACCCTAACAGCTATGTCTTTGTCCAGGTGGCTGCCATCTTTCACTTCCATTATCTGGTCTTCCCATCCTGAGTCTTGCCCCCTCCAATGGACTCTCCACACGGCAGCTAGAGAAATCTGCCTAATCCCTCTGCTGAAATGCTTTTTCCTCACTACTTCTTCACCATCTGCCCCTCCTCTTTATTCCTTTTTTTCTTCTCTCATTCTCTTTCCTCCTCTTCCCAAGGGACTCCCGCTCAGGTATTGTTTTTTTCTAAGAAGGCTGTCTGCTCTTTAATTCAGGTAAAATGCCCTTTTTACCATGGCCCTTAGTGCCATATTATTATTTTTCTAATTAATTAATTTATTTATTTCTGGCAGCACTGGGTCTTCGTAGCTGCATGCAGGCTTTCTCTAGTTGCGGCGAGCGGGGGCTACTCTTTGTTGCAGTGCATGGGCTTCTCACTGCGGCGGCTTCTCTTGTTGTGGAGCACGGGCTGTAGGCATGCAGGCTTCAGTAGTTGTGGCTCGTAGGCTCTAGAGCACAGGCTCAGTAGTTGTGGCGCGTGGGATTAGTTGCTCCACGGCATGTGGGATCTTCCCGGACCAGGAATCGAACCCATGTCCCCTGCATTGGCAGGTGGATTCTTAACCACTGCGCTACCAGGGAAGTCCCGCCATATTATTTTTTATCCATCTCACCCACTAGTCTCTAAACCACTAGAGGAAAAGACCATGTGTTATTTGTCTGTGTATCTTCAGTGCCGAATATGGTGTCTGGCACATGGTAGGAAAAAATTTTAATGATTGCTAATAAGTTGTGCCTATTGCCTTACATCAGTTAGTATCAACACAGAGCTGGGTATGGGGCAAGGTTCCTGATGATGAAGAATTTTACCACTGCTGAGTTGAGAGTATGGATGTGGTTGAGAAACATGTTTTTCAAAGAACTATTGTTACATCCCTTCTACTGCCCCATTGTTGATTGTGGTAGCAGGACCGAGGGTGCTGGTCGAGGGTTACCAACCCCTGGGAATAGAAATGGAAATGACAAGCCAGCTTTTCTTTTATAACAAGTTTTTTTCTTTTTCTCTCTCTCCTCTCTTTCAGGCGTATCGTGAGCTTCTTTCTTATAGTCACCCAGATGGGCTTCTGCTGCGTGTACATTGTGTTTCTGGCTGATAATTTAAAGCAGGTAGAGTCTTCTAGAGAAGGCGGGAGGGAAAAGAACATGGAAAAGGAGGGTCCTCTTTTTCTAGTTGTTCAACAAATAGCTTCTTCTCTTTGGGCCCTAGTATCCTCATCATACAATGAAGAAAGTTAAACTGAGTGTTATCAAAGAACCCAGGCTTCCCCCAGTTCACATATCTGCGGATTTCTGTAAGTGGTTACTTTATCCACAGTACCCTTTGTCCAAGAGTTGTCTCTAAAACTGGACCTGTCCTCAAGGTTGGTCCTCAAGGTTGGTCTTTAAAATTGAGCTGGAAGTAACCTTGGATTTTGTCAATCGTCCTGCTTTGGTACGTAATTATCCTTAACTCTTCTTAAACTGATACAGGTCTTTTTGAATAATACCTAATCTTTGGGCCATCTGTATCTACCTTTAGCTGTTTAATCTCCTTGGTTTAACAGTTTTTTGTCCCCGAGAAATTCTTCTGATCTAACCCAATAGTTATCTTGGAGCAATTTGAGCAAAATAATGTGGGTAATAACAGAGGCTATCCTTAATCAATAAGCTTAAAAAAGAAAACTATTCTTCAGGGCTCTTTTTCTGTTTATAGTAATACCAGAAATTTGGAAATGTAAACAAAAAATTAAAAAGAAGGAAAAAAATAGTAAGAATTCAGAATTAGCTTCTATTATGTGTCAGGTACAGTGATCATTTTATGTTTTCCCTCATTTAATTCTCTCCATGGTCTTATCAGAGTAGGTACTACGGTTATTCCCATCTTGCAGATGAGAAAACTGATGTTATGAACGCTATAATGTATATAAATATGGTCACAGAACAAAGGTTAAAAACACAGGCCTTTTTAACATCACAGCTCAGGTTTTTAAACACTATGCTATACTGCTTCTCAAAATAAAACAAAATTATTCTTAATCCAACCACTCATGGATGGTTTTAAATGAGTGTTAACTGATTAGCATTTTTAGATGTCCTTCAATTTTTTAGTGTAATTTTTAATAGTTTTATAATTTTCCATCATACAGATGACTTGGTCTTTTATCATCTGATATTTTCTGTTTTACTACTATAATCTGTACAAGTCTTTGTACAACCCTTTATTACTTTAGTATATGTATTTTTTAAGTAAAATTACTGGGTCAAGGAATTTGATTTGAAAGCTCTTAATTGCCAGATTGCTGCTTGGAAATCAATCTGACATTAGCAGAACTTTATCAATCATCTGTCTAGAGACAAGGTAAGCACTGTCTCAAGGAGTTTGCAGACTAAGTGGGATGTGCTCTAAGACATATAAAAAGCTAAATATCAATATAATATGTCGGTGTTGGGTCAGGACTCCACTAACACCCTGAGGTTGGGGATGCTTAATTGTGAACTAAGGGGCAGAAATGTATGGGAGCAGGAGAGATCATTGGAGCAAGAGAAGCCCCCCTTGAGGAGATGCACCTGAGCTGGGCATTGAAGGGCAGGTTGGAGAAGTAGTGGCAGCCAAGGTGGGAGGAGGAATAAACACCTGAAGGCAGGAATGTACTGGACTTGCTCAGGAGAGGCAATACAAGTGGTTGTAGAAGAAGGTGTGGGCCTTGGGAGAGGAAGAGCTTTCACGGTTGAATGGGTCCATTTATGGAAGGCCTTGAATACCTGGCTAATGTTCCAAGTATTTTTCCTACTGTAGTGAGGAATCAGAAAAAAACAAAACAATGATTTATTTAAGTATTCATGATGTGTTAAATGAAAAGGAGATTTTTTTAAAATTAATTTATTTATTTTTGGCTGCATTGGGTCTTCGTTGCTGTGCATGGTCTTTTTCAAGTTGCGGTGAGCAGGGGCTACTCTTCGTTGCGGTGTGCAGGCTTCTCATCGCGGTGGCTTCTCTTGTTGCGGAGCAGGGCTCTAGGCGTGCAGGCTTCAGTAGTTGTGGCACATGGGCTCCGTAGTTGTGGCTCGCAGGCTCTAGAGCACAGGCTTAGTAGTTGTGGCACACGGGCTTAGTTGCTCTACAGCATGTGGTATCTTCCTGGACCAGGGATCGAACCCGTGTCCCCTGCATTGGCAGGCAGATACTTAACCACTGCGCCACCAGGGAAGTCCCGGAAAGGAGATTTTAAAATAAGAGTGTATAGTATAATTTCAGTCTTGTAAAATAAAAAGGATGCGTGTAATACATGTAATTTGTGATACTGCATAGAAAATGTACAGACGAATATATTGCAAGGCATTACCATGGCAACCCATAGGTACTGAGGTTATCATTGATTTTACGTTTTCTTCCTGCTTAAATCTAGTTTCTAATTCTTCTGCAGTGGACTGTGTTGCTTGCACAATAAGACTGTAGCCATTAAGTCATGCTGATTCCAAAGGAGGGTGGTACCCTCCCTCCTACCACCACTTTGCTGGGAGGTATTTGTACAGTGTGCAGGAGGTGTTCCTTGTTTGTCGCAGTGACGCGGAGATGCTAATACCTTTTACTGGGTGGCGCCCAGAGATGCTAAATGTCCTGCAATGAATGGTCAGATGCTCACAAGGAAGAGTTCTCTCACTCAAAATGTCAGTGTTGGTCCAATTAAGAAACAGTAAGTGATGAGCTTTTTTGGTTATAAGCAAAAGAAACAGATTCAGTGGAACTTCAGCAGAAAATGAGTTTAGTGGAAGAATATTAGCTAACTTCCAAAATGACAGAGAAAACTAAAAAAAAAAAAAAGGGTCTCAGAAAAGGACAGGAACAGGAACCAGGGCAGCTAGGGGGATGTCGATAGAATTGATGAGCAGTCTCCTCAGGGATTCCCTATCGTAATTACTGTTTACCCTTTTCTAGGTCTGCCTTGTGTCATTTTGCTTGTTATTTAGATTCATACTCCAGGGAGAGATGTGAGTACCTGTGCTTGAGTCAAAGGCAGTGCTTTGGCTCTGCCACATGATTGTGATTTACAGGCCACCAAGGTTGTATTCAGGTGAGAGAGAATGCACCAAAAATAAATGAAAATCAGGAGGAATGGATTCTGCGTTGCCAAAAGCTAACAAATGGCCACTCTAAGTTTAGGTATTTATGTTTATTAAGTTCGCTTTTTATTAAAGTTATTTCTGCAGCCTCTTTTGAGGAAGTATGGTGCAGAAGATTTGCAATAAGAAGTCCTAAAGTCACTCTAACTCACTCTGAGACCCTGGCACGTGAGACATGCCAGCTCTTTGTGAGGGAGTCTGATTATGGGCCAGGCTCTGAGCTAATGATGTGGCCAGAAAATTCATCGAATCTTCTCCTTGCTTTTCCCATTCGTCTCCCAGGTAGTGGAAGCGGTTAATAGCACAACCAACAACTGCCATTACAACAGGACAGTGATTCTGACGCCCACCATGGACTCGAGACTCTACATGCTCACCTTCCTGCCCTTCCTGGTGCTTCTGGTGTTCGTCAGAAACCTCCGAGCCCTGTCCATCTTCTCCCTGTTGGCCAACATCACCATGCTGGTCAGCTTGATCATCATCACCCAGTCCATCATCCAGGTTAGCACACCACACTCCTCACTCCTCTAGTGGGCAGAGCCTTTTATCAATGATAGACTGACACCTGGGGCCAGCCCTGAGGGTAGAAATGTATGCACTCCCCTCTTCAGCTTAGAGCTTACTTTACTGTAACATTTCTTCCACAAAGCTGTCTCTGCGCACTCTCATTTTTCTGGGTATCTCCTCTTTGATGTTGCTTCTCCAATACTCGTTTTATGTCAAATCCTGGTTATAGAAAAAAATTATGCTTTGCAAGGAAAATATCTTGATTGGTTAACTACAGACCATTCCTGTAATGGTTGGATAGCAGCAAAAGGCAGATAAAAAGCAGGATTTTCTACCACAGCTAAACCTTATTGAACTAGTCTTACATCCTCTAAGCTATAATTCCAAGTAATTGCAAAATTACCCCTAGGGAACTCAAGAGAAAACAACAACAACTAATATTTAGTCACAGAGGTATAAATAGAAAGCCTTGAAAGACCACAAACAAATCTGTCATGATGTAAATCACACGTCTTTGAAGTTGAGTATGGATATTCATTTTCCCTCAGTTTCCCACTTTTCTCTCCTTTCTAATTTTCATTTTATAATGGACAAGCCTACGTAGAAATTTAAATCCAGAAGACCCTTGGCATGCCTAATACCTTTCAGATGTTTTCCTCTTTCAGAAGTCACAAGAAAAAAACGTTATTTTGTCCATGGAATTTAGTAAAAATAAGAGATTAGCCAAATATTTTAGGATAACCACAGATAAGTCTTAAGGCAATATTGATAGATTCTACAAAATTGAATTTCCCAATGAAGTAGCTACCTCTGATTTATTTTTGGACTATTCCAGAGGTTGCTCAATTAGAGAAATTGTTCTGTCATTACTTTCACATACTAGGTCACAGGGTACATAAAATATTTATTCCACACACTTTTCTTCTCCTTCTGTTTACAGCTCATTGAAGAAGAAAAGGGGACTTTCATATGTAACGAATTACTTTGGGTTCCCTAGAATATCACTGTAACTATAGTCAAAGTAATTTCCCATGTCTATAACCACTGGTACATTCAAAGTGTTCTTGGGCACTTTAGGCTAGTACTAACCTGTGGTGGGCAAGATTGTCTTCTGGAGGATTCTGATAAACCAGACTCCCTCTGTGAGATCCCTGATCCTTCAGTACTTTGAGAATACCTTAATCTTTCTTTCCTCTGGCTCTTTGCTATTGGGAAGCGTTAAAATCAACTCTAATTGTGGCCTACTTCCTTGTGAAGTTTTCTGAATTGCTTGATATTCAATTTTTTTTATAATTCAGCTTTACTCTCAGAATACTCTTCTCTTAAGGGATCCCAAACATGCTTTGACAGAAAATGTCTTTACCACATTTCTCTCCCCCATAGGGAATTCCAGACCCCAGCCACTTGCCACTGGTAGCAAATTGGAAGACCTACTCGCTCTTCTTCGGAACAGCCGTTTTTTCATTTGAAAGCATTGGTGTGGTAAGGTTTCAATTGGGGTAGACTTTCCAAGGTGCTGTGGGTGGCCTTCTGAACAGGAGCTGGGAGCTCTGGGCTCTGTGTGCACGGGAGAAACTAACCTCTGACCTCACTTGGGTCAGGTGGAGAAACTAACCTCTGACCTCACTTTGGACCAGCAGGAGAAAGTAGGTTATAGCAGAGAGGTTAGAGCAGTCGGGAGAGTTTTATTCCTGTCCCAGTACATTTGTTAAACATTTATCTTCATATCAACATGTCTTTATTAATCTTTAAAAATCAAGATAAATGGAGGTGTACAACTTAAATTATAGGATTTTTATGAAACATAAAGGAGTTTTAAACTGGAAAGTACAGTTTATTTACAATGGATTATTATATAGTCTCTACTTCCACACTTGAGGAAGGATAGTGCTGTGTATAATTTTTTTCTTCCAGTTTTATTGAGGTATAATTGACATACAGCACTGTATAAGTTTAAGGTATACAGCATAATGATGTTACTTACATATATCATGAAATGATTATCACAATAAGGTTAGTGAACATACATCATCTCATATAGATACAAAATTAAAGAAATAGAAAACAATTTTTTTCCTTGTGATGAAAACTCAGGATTTACTCAACTTTCATATATAGAATAGTGTTAATTATATTTATAATTGACCTACAGCACTATGTTAGCTCCTGTTACTTACAATATAGTACTTCGATATTTCTTTGGCTTTCAAAATGATCACCATGGTAAGTCTAGTTATGATAAATGTCACAATACAAAGATATTACATAGTTATTGACTGTTTTGCCTGTACTGTACATTTCATACCTGTGACTCATTTATTTTGCAAGTAGTAGTTTGTACCTCTATGCTTTTTAAGTTTACTTTTAATTTATATACAGTACAATTCACTTTTATTTGGTGTACATCTCTTTAAGTTTTGAGAAGTGCAGAGTCATAGATGCACCACAATCAGAACACAGAACAATTCCGCCACCATAAAAAGCTCCCTTGTGCTGCCCTTTTTGTAGTCAACTTCCCCCTACTCCCACTAACCCCTGGCATCCACCTTCTGTTCTCTGTCTCTATTGTTTCACTTTTTCCAGAATGCCATCCACATGGGATCATACAGTATGTAACCTTTTAAGCTTGGCTTCTTTCACTTAGCTGCATATACGGTCATCCACGTGGTTGCATGCATCAGGAGCTTGCTGTTTTCTACCGCTGAGCATCCACTGTATGAGCAGTACCACAATTTGTTGAACCATCACCTGTTTAAGGACATTTAGGTTGTTTCTAGTTTCTGACGATTATGAGTAATGCTACCGTAAGCATTTGTGTACAGGGTTTTGTGTGAACATACGTGTTCATTTCTCTAGGAGTAGGTTTGTTAGGTGACATGTTAATGTATGTTTAACATTGTAGAAAATTGCCCAACAGTTTTCCAGAATTGCTATACCATTTTGCATTCCCACCGGATGTATGAGTGTTAGAATTCCTTTGCATCTTTGCTAGTTCTTATCTGTGTTTTTAGTGTTTTTTTAAATTTTAGCCACTCTAATAGGTTTGTAGTGCTATTTGATTGTGATTTAATTTGCATTTTACTAATGACCATTGATTTTGAGCATCTTTGTATGGGCTTATTTGACATCTGTATATCGTCTTTGGTATAAGTGTCTGTTCAAATCTGCGAATTTTTAAAGAACTGAGTTGTTGTCTTTTATTGCTGAGTTTTAAAAATTCTTTATATATGCCAAATGCAAATCCTTTATTAGATGTGTAATTTGCAAGTATTTTCTCTAGTCTGTAGCTTGTCTTTTCATTCTCTTAACATTGTCTTTCATAGAGAAAAAGTTTTAATTTTGATGAAGTTCAACATATCAAAATTTTTCATTTATGGATCCTACTTAGTTTATCTAAGACTTTAGTTTTATCTAAAACACTTTGCCTACTCCAAAGTCACGAAGACTTTTCTCCTATGTTTTCTTCTAAATGTTTTGTTTTCATTGTACATTTAGATCTATGATATATTCTGAGTTAATTTCTGTTAAAAGTGTTTATAGGTTGAAGTTCAATTTTTTTAAGGATGCCAATTATTCCTTCATCATTTGTTGAAAAGACTATCTACTCTCCATTGAATTACCTTTGCATCTTTGTAAAAAGCTAATCGATATATGAATATGGGTCAATTTCTGGACTTCCTATACTGATTCATTGATCAATGTGCCTTTCCTTTCACGATACCAAAATATCTTGATAACACAAGCTTTACCTTAAAATCATGTAATATTAGAGCTCCAACTTTGTCCTGATTAATATTTGTGTGATACATTTTTTTCCATCCTTTTAATTTTTTTACTGAGATAAAATTCACCATTTTAACCATTTTAAAATATATAATTCAGTGGTTTTCATTGCCTTCACAGTATTGTGCATTCATCACCACTGTCTAATTCCAAAACATTTTCATCATCCCAAAAAGAGACCCTATGCCCAGTAAGCAGTCAGTCTCCACTCCCCTCTGCTCCCAGCCCTGGCAACCACAATCTTTGTCTTTTAATTGGTGTGGTTAGACCATTTGCAGTTAATGTAATTATTATGTTTATTAGGTCTGCATTTTATTATTTGTTTTCTGTTCTACCCTTCCTTTTGCTTTCCCATTTTCTCTTTTTACCTCCTTTTGGATTCTCTGAATACTGTTTAGTATTCTACTTTAGTTTGCCCGTCAGAGGTTTGACTGCATCTCTTTCTATAATACTTTTCATGGTTGCTCTAGGGATTACAGTATACATATATAACTTTTCACAGTTTACTTACAGTTACTATTTTATCGTTTCTAGTAAACTATAGAAATCTTATAGTTGTAGAGGTTTTTTTTCTTTCCCCCCTTTTTGTTGTAATGACCATATGTATTACTGGTTTGGCCAAAAAGTTCGTTCGGGTTTTTTTAGGAAAAACTCGAAAAAACTTTTCAGCCAACCCAATACATCTAAATATATCAAAACACCATCAGAAAAATGTTATAATTTTTGATTTCAGTAGTGCCACATGGCCCTTTTGATAAACTTACTAAGGGAAAAATAGTCTAATGTATCTATCCAGGTACCTACCATTTCTGTTGCTCTTTCCTTATTCCTGAAATCACAAGTTTCCCTCTGGCATCATTCCCTTCAACATGAAGAAACTCCATCATTATTTCTTTTAGACTGGTGACAAATTTTTTTCATTTTTTTTAAATTTCAGAATATCTTTATTTTTTGCCTTTATTCCTGAAGGATGTTTTTGCACAATATAGAATTCTAGGTTGGCAGTCTATTTTTAGCACTTTGAAAATATGGTATCCCTTCCTTTTGCCCTCAGTGGTTCTGGTGAGGAATCTGCAGTTATTTGAATCATTGTTCCCCTATATGTGATGTTGTTTTTTATCTGGTTACTTTCAAGATAATTTTCTAAAAATCTTTGGTTTTCAGCAGTTGTATTGTATTGTCTGGATTAGTTTTCTTTGAATTTGTCCTGTTTGAAATTCACTTAATTTCTTGAATCTGTAAATATATGTCTTTTACAATTTGGGAAGTTTTCTTTTTCAAAAATTTTTTTCTGTACCAATCTCTTTTTCTTCCCCTTCTGGGACTCCAGTGACCTGAATGTTAGACACTTTGATATATGTCCCGCTATTTTCTAAGGCCCTATTCATTTTTAAAAATCTTTTTTTCTCTTTTATGTTCAGATTCAATAGTTCCTATTGATCTATTTTCAAGTTCACTGACTGTGTTCTGTCATTTACACTGGACCTCTCCAGTGGGGTTTTTCAGTTCTAAAATTTCCTTTTGGTTCTTTGGTTCTTATTCCTTCAGCTTCGTTGCCAAGAACTTATATCTGTCCATTTGTTTCAACAGTGTTCTCGCTTACTTCACAGAGGACGGTTATAACACTTGCTTTAAAGTCTTTGCCTGATATTTCCATAATTTCTGTAATCTTAGGGTTGGCATCTGTTGTCTTTTCCCTTGAGCAGTGTTGAGATTTTCCTGGTTCTTTGTATGTTGATTAATTTTAGACTGTATCCTGCACATTTTGAATATTATTTTATGAGACTCTGGAGCCTGTTAAAATCCTCTGGAGAATGTTGACTTTTGTATTTTAGCGAGCAGTCAGTCTGATTAGATTCAAACTACAAGTCTTGATATACCTTCAGTAGACCATGGTTTTAATATCAGATTAGTTTTCAAAGACTTTGAAGTGATATTTGGCTTCACCTTGCTTATATGCTACCCAGGGGCCAGACAGTGGTCTGTCTACACAATAGTTCTCAAAGCCTTTACTTTGATGCTTCACATCAGTTCCATACATGTACAGCTCAGGGCTAAACCCAGACTTCATTCACAGGGATGAAGGGAATCACTTTCTCTGGCTCCCTCCTTTCCGTGTTTTCCGGCACACTCACCAGTGTGCTGCACATTCACCCAGGAGCTTCTTTTTCTGGTCCTCTGGCTACAAAGCCAGGGTTTTAGCCTCCTTATACTCCTATACGCTTCTTGTGACTGGGCCTAACTCGAGGGTGACCACTGAGAGTAAAAAGAGAAGAAAAGAGCAATAGGGATTCCTTCCAGGTCTGGCTTCATGGGCATGTAACCTGTGTGGTCACATGGGCCTCTGCCTTTAAAAGGATTTCACACTTGGTTTAATGCCCTGTGTTCATCATCTTGAATTTCTTGATCTTTGACCAAGTAGCCTTGCATTGTCATTTTGCACTGGGCCCCACAAATTATGTAGCCAATCCGATTCCCCCTTTACTCTTTGGACTCCCAAAGTCCTCTTTCCCTGTTCCTCTGCTCCAAGAGAAAGAGTTTGTCTTGTCTCAGATTTTTAGATGCCTAAGTAACCACCACAGTCCCTGATACAACAGATTGCTGCTTTGTGACTGAGACTTGCCCTGGGGAGTATGGCCTGGAGAGTAAAAAAGGAAACAGAATAATAGGGATTTTCTCCATGCTCTCTGTCCCACAGGGTCCCTTATTTTAGGCCCCTCTGGCCAGAAAGAGGGTTTCTTTTTGAGTTTTCTCTCTCTGCATCCACTACATAGTTCTAGGATTTGGGCTCTCCTTGAGTCTAAACTAGGAGATACAAGAAGAAAAAAAATCAGGAAACTCACTGCCATGATGGCCATTTTTACTGGTTTTGAGCAATTCACCTTCTATTATATACTTTTCAGAGTCCGTGGATAGTTGCTTTATGTATTCTGTCCAGGGCTTTTAGTTTTAATTAGTGAGAGAGATATGGTGCAATGTGCTTACACCATCTTAATGGGACCGGAAGCACTTTATATTTAGAATTTTGAACAGTCATGGCAAAAAGAAGAGTGGTTGAGCAAATGACTTTGGAGGCAGAATGTGCTGGAATCTTACTTTAGTCACAGGCTAATCTCTGAACCTTAATTCTTCAACTGTAAGATGATGATTCTACATGTTCAGTAAGTGTTTATGAACATCTACTATGTGCTAATGATTATTAGTATCAGAGTTCAAATTACCTTTAGAAACCTTCTATTCCAGTCTCTAATTTTACAGAAGAGGAGCCTCACTCCAAAGAGGGACAGGGTCTTGAGCTGCGTCACCAGCTGGGAACTGCTACAGCTGGTACTATTCACTCCCAAGCCAGAGACCTTCCCACTTTATGTGAATGGCCATTTAATCTCTTTGATTGTGGGGAGGCGCGGGGGGCGGAGGGAGAAAGCCAGTTACAGTAAATCTCCTACATACAAACCTTCAAGTTGGGAACTTTCAAAGATGCGAACGCAAGGAGTGAAACTGTGCAGCTTGCCCTCTGTCTCCTATTGCTGACGATACTTCAGCTCTACATCTCCCACCTCCTCTCCCTCCTCCAGTAAGTAACTCTTCTTGCCTGTTCACTCCATACCAGCCCCTGTATGCCATCTGTTGTACTGTACTGTACACTACTGTACTTTTCAAGGTACTGTACTGTAAGATTAAAAATGTTTATTTTTTTGTGTTTTTTATGTAGTATTTGTGTGAAAAGTATTATAAACTTATTACAGTACAGCACTATATAGCCGATTGTGTTAGTTGGGTACCTAGGCTAACTTTGTTGGACCTATGAACAAATTGGACTTATGAACGCGCTCTCAGAATGAAACTCGCTCTTATGTAGGGAACTTACTGTACTTAGTATGAGCTGGCCTTGTAAAAAGATCATCTTTAGCCTGGGGAATTTATGCAACAAAAATGTATTGCAGGGTAGGAAAGCTCACGTTGGATTGCTCTTCACCTAATCCCCTGGACATTTTCCCAAGCACCTGCTGCATCTAGGAACGTGCACCTAACCCAGAAGAAAGTGGAAAGTCCCAGACGCGCACTCCCCTCAAGCGTCTGCCATTCACATGGGGAGGGAGGGGAGGTGCATACAGGACAAAGAAGGATTTAACAATACAAAGGAATAGGTGCTAAGTTCTCACTGAGTAATAAATAAGCCCAGGGCTGTGGGAGTTTAGGCAAGATCGGGTAGAAGTACTTGGACTTTGGAGGACAGCCCTGGTTTGCAGCCTTCCTCTGCCACTTCCAAGCTGTATAGCTTGGTGTAAGTTATATCATCTTCAGAGCCTTGTTATAAAATAAGAATTACACCAAGTACCAGCTTCATAGAGTTGTGGTCTTTGCAGTATTACCAAATAATTGTAGTTAACATTTACTAAGTCCTTACTGTGCACCATTTCAATGCTCATGTAATTCTCCAAAAGATTCTAACAGGTAAGTTTTCAGATCAGGAAACTGAGGCACAGATCACCCTAATGGTGCATGAAGTGTGCTTAGCACATGGCTGGATCAAGGAGAAGGGGAAGGTGAGGGTGGGCCTTGGTCAGTAGAAGTCTGAGGAGGAAATTATGAGATGAGGCCAAAGAGTTGGTACCAAAGATAGAAGAGACCTTGGAATGCCCAACAGGCCCAAGAGGCAGGCTGGCCGCAGTTTGGATTCTCTTAGAGCCAGATATGCATCTGGGGAAGAAGGATCCTGAGAACATGGTATGTGGGGAAATGTGCCTCTGGGGAGCCAGGGTGCTCTAGTCCCAGTGCTGCTGCCAGCCCACTGCATAACCTGAGTCTTGGCCTTCCCATCCGTACAGAGAGGGGCAAGTGCACTAGAATTGGGAGCCTCAAACTCAAGTGCTTTTGGAAGACAACATGGGTGGAGAAGCCAGGTATATGTCAGTGTGAGAGGGAGAGGTGGGCCTGGTAGGTGGAGAAAGAATGTTGTGCTTAAAGGCATTCATATTCAGTTGTCTGAAAGACTGGCCAAACAAAATGCACCGGCTGGGCCAGATCGGGCCGCCCCAGGGAGTTGAGCTCCTTGGTCTGGTCAACCTGCAGGGTGCTTCCAGCTCTGAACGGTCCAGGGATCATCTTGTGACTGCAGGCCTTCCTTTCCTTTTTTTTGTTTTTTAATTATTTATTCACTTATTTTGGCTGCGCTGGGTCTTAGTTGCAGCACGCAGGATCTTCATTGCGGCATGTGGACTTCTTAGTTGCCGCATGCGGACTCTTAGTTCCAGCATGCATGTGAGATCTAGTTCCCCGACCAGGGATCGAACCCCGGGCCCGCTGCATGAGGAGCGCCGAGTCTTACCCACTGGACCACGAGGAAGTCCCTCTTTTTTTTTTTTTTTAATTGTGGTGAAATATACCTCACATAAAATTTACCATCTTAACCAGTTTTAAGTGTACAGTTCAGTGACATAAAGTACATTCATATTGTTGTACAAAGATCATCCATCTCTTTTCATCTTGCAAAACCAAAACCGTGTACCCATTAAACAATAATTCCCCATTTATTCCTCCCCCCAGCCCATGGGACTCACCAGTCTAATTTCTGACTCTGAATCTGACTACTCCAGTTACCTCATATAAGTGGAATCACATAGTATCTGTCATTTGTGACTAGCTTACCTCACTTAGCTTAATGTCTTCAAGAGTCATCCATGTTGGGGCATATGTCAGGATTTCCTTCTTTGAAAGGCTGAATAATATTCCATTGTATGTATGGACCACATTTTGTTTATCCATTCCTTCATTGGTGGACACTCAGCTTGCCTCCAACTTCTGGCTACTGTGAATAATGCTGCTATGAACGTAGGTATACAAATATCTGTGCATGTTCCTGCTTCCGATTCTTTTGTGTGCATACGCCGGGAAGGGGCATGCCTTTTTTCTTTATGCTTGTGTTCCTCTTTCTCCTCCTCTCTTCTTACATTGGGCGTTTCTGTAGGTTCTGCCCCTGGAAAACAAGATGAAGGATGCCCGCCGCTTCCCAGTCATCCTGTCTTTGGGAATGTCCATCGTTACTGCCCTCTACATCAGCATCGGGACTCTGGGCTACCTGCGGTTCGGAAATGACATCAAGGCCAGCATAACCCTTAACCTGCCCAACTGCTGGTAACTCTATGGGCTCTGAGGCGGTAGGGGCTCAGGGCCAGTGGGAACAGGAACATATAGGTCACTTTCTCCTCCTTTCTGCAGAAGGTAAACTGAGGTCTGGAGGGTCTCCACAGGGAGAAGCAGAGCTGACACTGGAACCCTGGGCTCTGGATTCTGTGTCCAGGGAGCTCTTCTTCAGCAACAGCCTCCCATGTTGAGTGAGGCCTTGATAGCTAGCTTAGTATGAGGAAGGACATGATTTAGGAAGAGAGGGGAGAAGTCAGAGTCCTTGGTCACCTAAAGAGAGAAAGGAGGCGCACAGAGAAGGGCAAGAGGCAGAGAGTGGAGCCGGTGGGTGGCTCCAATTACATTTACTAAGGCTGCACTACCAAGTCCTGCAGAGTAGCTAGGATGAAAAAGTAGTAAAACAAGAACCAATTAGGGAAGACCATTAGAATCTGGAAAATGTTTATATCAAGTGACCCAATTCATATAACAGTTAGCTGACCCAGACTTCAACACTGAATATTTAAATAGACAGATGAACCCCTATCACATGGTGCACTTTCTCCCACACTGAGGCATGTCATTAATGACCAGGTGCCTGTCTTTTTAAGGGTCACTTGGAGGCTTAATTTGTCTAAATGGGGCTCCTTTCCCAAGTTGATCAGTATCATTCACCAAGCATTTACTGCATCCCAATTACACGCAGATGCCAGTCTAGGCACGTGGTGTGGAGGGTGCTGATGTGAGTAGACTATGATTTTGAGCTTCACCGTCTTCCTCAGCTCATGGTCCCATGGGAATGGGGAATGGATAGTGTACGTACACAAAGACAACATAGAACAGAAAAAGAAGCCCTCCAGAATAGTGGAGAGGACTTGGGGACTCCCAAGGAAAGAAAGTACATTGGAATGGGAGAACAGGGAATCTCCCTGTCCAATGAGAACTCCGTCCAAACAAGGACAACGACAGCACCTCTGAATCCAAGACCCAGTTACACCAACTCCTAGCTCCTGGTCATGGATGGTTTATTTAACTTCTCTGATGTTCAGTTTCCTCTTCTAAAAAGCAGAGTTATCATGCGGATTAAGTTGGGCATGCCTAAAAGCATCTGCAATGTAGTAGCACCTCCTCTAAAGATGGGAATTTTTAAAAACAGGTGGGGTTTGCACAGATGGAAAGGGAGTAGAGAGGGTGTTCCAGGCAGCAGAAATAGTGTGAGCAAGAAACACAGAGATGTGGAAGTTTGCCTTTTTAAGGAATGGACTAAATATACACAGACACAGTCATACAGGTTTATTTAACATGCCAGATGCATCTACCACATTAGTGGGCTAAATGAAAAAAGCCTTATCTCCATTGGTCAAAAAAGGCATCGATAAAACTCAGCATCCCCCATCACATGTTCTCCTGCCCCCAGTCTGAGGCCTGCAAGTAACCCTGCCTCTCCTTTTATCCCCCAACCCTCACACAATCCTCTGTGTAGACCACCTCTTCCCTCAAGGATTTGGGATTCTGCAGTTCATTCAATCACCTGGAAGCATTTGTTGAGAGCCTGTTATATGCCAGGTGCTTTGGGGGATCCAGAGAATTCCTAAGAAAGGAGATTACAGAAGACCAGATCTTTTAGACCCAGGTTTTTTGGTCTTCACCACTTATCACTTGTATCTCCCTGAGCAAGGTACCAGGCCTGAGCCTCTGTTTCCTAAAATCTAAAATTCAGCGTCAAGTGATGGTGGTTTATGAAGGCGTTATATTACCCATACCTGAGATTCTTTTTATGTAGAGATGACCCTCTCAACGGTTTCCATTTGAATCTGTGATGCTTCACTGTATTTCCACTGCATGCTCTGCTGTGACTTCCTTTCATAGAAGGTCCCTCCCCATCATTTTCAGACAAGGAAACATTTGCCTGTGGGACTGTTCCAAGGTCAGAGGTTAATGTACAAGGAGGCCAGGGACTTCCCTGCCAGTCCAGTGGTTAAAACTCCACACTTCCAATGTAGGGGGCTTTCAATCCCTGGTCGGGGAACTAAGATCCCACATACCTTGCAGAGAGGCCAAAAAAAAAAAAAAGCAAAAACAAAATAACAAGGAGGTCAGGTGTCAGAGCACATTGGCCTTGAGAGCACTGCTCTGGTTTGTCCTGCAGGCTGTACCACTCGGTCAAGATCCTCTACATAATTGGCATCCTGTGCACCTACGCCCTGCAGTTCTACGTCCCTGCAGAAATCATCATTCCCTTCGCCACCTCCCAGGTGTTAAAGCGCTGGGCACTGCCTCTGGACTTGTTCATCCGCCTCGCCATGGTCAGCCTGACATGTGAGTAAAGAGGCAGAGCACCTCGTTGCTGTTTTCCTGAGGGTTATCAGGAATCAGCCAGATGGCAGACAATAGTCATGATAACCAGCATTGATTGCATACTAACTGTGTTTCAGGGACCATTCTAAGGCTTTCCAAGTAGTAATTCATTTCATTTATGCTTTAGGGGCAGCTTAATTCTTACATGTACCTAATTAGACAGATTTACCAGTGTCCAGCTTGAGGGAGTGACAACTTATCAAATAATAATCACAATAAGAACTGACTTTTATTAAACACCTACTATGTGCCAGCCACTGTGCTAAGCTCTTTCTGTTCCATATTTCATAGTATCTTATTCAGTCCTTGCAGGAACTCTTATGAGGTAGGACTGTGATAAACTCTACTTTGTAAATGAGAAAGCTGAAGCAGAGAGTGATAAGTAATTGGGCAGGAAGTGCCAGAGGTGGGATTTGAACCCAAGTCCAGGCCCATCACCCTTCACCTCCAGGACAGAGGTTGAAAATGGTGGCCAGTGAGTCTAATCTGGCATCAGAGGTATGTTGTTTCACCCTCATAATGTTGTATAAATTTGGGCCAACATTAAAAATGTGGGAGAGGTCTCACATACAAATGCAGATTTCTAATGTTTGGGGGAATAATAAAATGATTTGGCAAACCTAGGGTCACATCCCCATTGGCAGCAGTTCCTTGGCCTCCGATGGGCTGGTATTCACCTGTTGGCTTCAACTGTCCCCACTCACCCCCTCGGCAGCCCTCCTTGTGCTCCAGGCCCTATGATCCAGGGTGCCCCTTTCTGTAAGTATTTTAGTGGAGGCGAAGATGATAGAGATTCCTGTGTTGTGTTTGCCATGGCCCAGCTGTCCCTAAGCCTCCTTTTAATTGTGATTCTTGCTGTGCTAGACCAGCCCATATAAATCATGGGACACTGATTTTCTTCCTTTGAAGTTATTTGTTCCCAATTTGTCCTAGGAGGCAGGGACACTACCCTTCAGAATATTAGAGTCTCCAGAAAGATCAATGAATTTGCCCCAGATATGAAGATAACAATTCCTTAAGCTTCTGTATGCATTGCCCCAGTCAGTACATATGCAAACAGTTACTTGCAAACAAGTAATAATAATAAAGTAATAATGAAATAATAACAAAAATAGCTTTTCTGAGTGTTTTACACGAATTAACTCATTTAAAACTCTAACACCTGGGCTTCCCTGGTGGCACAGTGGTTGAGAGTCTGCCTGCCGATGCAGGGGACACGGGTTCGTGCCCCGGTCCGGGAAGATCCCACATGCCACGGAGCAGCTGGGCCCGTGAGCCATGGCCGCTGAGCCTGCGCGTCCGGAGCCTGTGCTCCGCAACGGGAGAGGCCACAACAGTGAGAGGAACGCGTACCGCAAAACAAACAAACAAACAGAAAACAACTTTAACACCATTTGCGGTATGACCCATAATACCTAAAAGGATAGCTACCATCCCCGTTTGGCAGATAAGGAAAAAAGCTGAGAAACGGGTGGAGACTTACCCAAGGCCACACAGGGAGAAACCAGAATCCTGCCTTCCAGTCCTGTTTTGTTCTGTTATACCACACTCCACCCCAGGAAACCTGGGGGAGCCTCCTGGGCTTTCTTTGTAACTAGGAAAATTGTCCATCAGGTAAAATAAAAAATGTAAAAGCCCAGGCCTATAAAACAGCCTACAAAAAAAACTATATACATAATATATAATTATATATAAAAAATTAAACATATAATTATATATTACATATAATATATAATTATAAAATATAATTATATAATTATAATTATATCACATATATGTATATATTATATATATATATAATTTCAAAATCTTTATTTTAGCTTTTAGTATTTCTTTGTTAGATGTTTTCTGACATGTATATAAAACCTGGAGAAGATACTGCTTTAGAGGGACCCTGTGATCTTGTTCCCACCGAAGACCCCTTTCTATAAATAATTTCACATTCTAATTGTTTGCAAGTAAGAGGTTCTTGCAGTCATGTTACTTATTAATGTTAGTTCCACGAAGGTAGGGGTTTTTTTTTTGTCTATTTTGTACATTGACACATTCCAAACAGCTGGACAGCTCCCAGCACTGTTATTTAGTGTTATTTATTAAGTAAGAGCTTAATCATTGAACACGTAGAGATTCGAAATGTACTTCCGTGGCATAAAAATTATCTTAGGCTAAAAGCATTAGAACAAGCAGCCACAGGGGGCGCAAAGCCTTATCTAAACTTCCTTTGCTGAATTAAGCAGGAACTTCTGAAAAATACAGGCACCATAAATCCCCTTTCTGGGAGATTTTCAATCAGAAAGAAGACTAACCATCATCACAGACTGAGTAATTACTTAAATTATCAGAGAATGTCATACCTTCCACTTGTTCTTGCATGGAAGCTATTTCTCCCCCATCCAGTTCCCCTTCTTTGTTTGGAGAGCCAATTCATCTGAAGGCTCCCTAGCCCGAAATAAACTTTGTCTTTCCTCCTGTTAATTGCCTAATTGTCAGCTAAATTCTCAGGCCCCCAAACACTTGAACCTGAATGGGAAGCGGGAAGGTTTTTCTCCCCAACAATATGAATGTATATATTTGAACAATAATTGGTCGAAAATGATTGAAAAGAGACACACCAAAATTTTAATGTATAAACCTCTAGTGAATGTGATTGGGGGGTATTACAGGAGTTTCAACTTTTTCTTTAAGTAACTGAATGTATGAGAAATAACTGATATATGTTTTAAGAGAAAGATTTTTAAAACAAACTTTAAAATTTTGGCTAAGCCTGGGAAGAGCCTTCTATCCCGTATCATCTCCCGCAGGCGTCTTGGCCATCCTCATCCCCCGCCTGGACCTGGTCCTCTCTCTGGTGGGCTCCCTGAGCAGCAGTGCACTGGCGCTCATCATCCCGCCCCTCCTGGAGATCACCACCTACTACTCAGAGGGCATGAGCCCCGTCACCATCATCAAGGACGCCCTGATCAGCATCCTGGGCTTCGTGGGCTTTGTGATGGGGACCTACCAGGCCCTGGACGAGCTGATCCAGTCAGAAGACCCTCTCACGTTTTCCAACTCCACCATTTTTATTCAGTGAAAATGGCGCTGCTTCTTACCCACCAGCACCTGACATTTAATGATATAAATCTCTTCTATATGCATTATCTATATTTTGCTGCTTTACCTTTCTCTGAGTCAAGTCACAGTGAAACAAGCACGGACTCAGCAGCTACAAGGTCTAGATGGTAATTTAAAAAAAATTTTTTTTAATTTATTTTCTTTCCATCTCTAGCTTTCCACTACACTGAGAGCTCTCTCACTGAAGGCTCTTGATTCCATTCGGGTTTTTGGCAATTCACACGATGAATTTCACACATTGAGTGGGGCTATGCAAGAGGAAGCCACCAGGGGGCATCCAAGAGGCAGCACCTGACAGAAGGAGGTGCAGCCAGCTAAGGCTGATGGTGATTTGGTAGACAAAGGGTGTCCTCTTTTCCAGATCTGTTTAAAGAGCAAAGATTAAGAGTGGGGACATAATCCATAATCCAGCAAGGTGTGCACAGCTCCAGCGTCAAGATGGACAGGATCCACAGGTCCATGGTGAGCTGCAACTCTCAGACAGAAAGGAACCACCATATTTAAGTCAAGGGCAATAAACTTTCTAAACAACTGGATAAAGTTTTGGCCCAATTCAAAGATCTCAACAAGGGACAGTCGTCACAGAAATGGATGTGCCAATGGCGGGGGGTTGGGGGTAGGGTGGGGATGGACAATGATTATTTCATTATTTATCTCTTGATTCTTTTTTTTTTCTTTAACCTCTTGATTCTTGCAACAAGCGTTCTTTCTTACCTACCACACACCAAGCATAGTTCAAAGTTCTTGTAATAGTTTGCAAAAATGGCGACAAATTCCTCTTGACAATGTGACATTGCAGCTCCCATCAAGAAGTGAAACCTATATCTCTACCCCTAGAATCTTGTCTTGGCCTTGTAACTTGATTTGGCCAATGGGACATTAGTAAATGTGACGCAAGCAGCGGTTTCGTGATGGCTAATGCATTGGAACTTTCATCGTGATGCTCTGCGTAGATAAGAGCACCAAGTGAAGAAGCCGGGGCTAGCCTGCTGGAGGAAGAGAGACCATGTGGAGCAGAAATGAATCATCCCAGTTGAGCCCCATCTCCCAGAACAGCCAGCCTGCCGACTTCCAGACACGTGAGTGAAGTATCCTAGACTATATACAGCCCCAGTCAAGCTGGCCTGGACCATAAATATTGCTCAGATGCTCCACAGAATTACGAGAAATAATAAATGTTTTTAGTTTTAAGCCATGAGATGTGGAAGCTTTTATGCAGCAAAAGCTAACTGATACATTTCTCTAAAGGGGATACACTAATGAGTGAGAAAAGAATCTCCGTCCTCCAGCTAGTCTGTTCTCTACTGGGGAATAATGACAGGTCATCAACTAAGTTAATACCATCATAGGTCCTTTTGAGGGCAGGGGGACACTAACTGCTCTGGAGTACTGAGCATGTCTTTCCACCGGTGGCACCATTAGAGCTGGATTTTGAGTAGAACTTGGGTCTCCCAACACTGAATCTGACCCTCCTTCCACTCAATCCTGCTGCCTTGACATTCCCGTGCCTTTTGTCATGTCTGACCTTGGCTGACAGCCAGGAGCCCCTCAACCCAACACAGCACTTCACCCTTCTTGGTGGTGACGGCTCCCTCCCTCCTCCCTAAAATCACTAAAATTGGGGAAAGGCATATAGATAAATGAGATGTTGTAGGCAGATCTGTAGTTTAGTGGGGGGTAAGGATGTTTCTTATTACACTCTCTATGGTGTTGGAAAGTGACCCATGCTTGTTTCAGCCTCAGTTTTAGGATACCATTTTAAACAGCCCTTTCCTGCTTATTTTTATCCATCATCCTCCCTTTGCAGCCTAGGGAAGTTACGGAGGGGTGAGGGGCGTGTCTGCCTCAATTCCCAAGTCCTGGTCTCCTGTTTTTGTGTGTTACTTTCTACCTGCTGGATTCCAGAAGGTACTTCATGAACACAAGCTCCACACCCAGATCCCATAGTCTGCAGAGTACCTGCTGGGAGATGGGACACTCATAGCCTCTGCAGTGGTCCACAGCCTACCTGGCCAGAGAGCTGGGTCATCATTTCTACATCAGAAATGTAAAAGACCCAAAGGACTTCCACCGATTGGTTCAGAGGCTTGGCAAAGTGGTCTTCCTCTCTCTGACCCTGTCTCCTCCACCTGGCTCAACTGTCACCCCACCCAACCTTGCTAAGTTTAAGATTGTTTTCTCTGTTATTAAAAAATGGTCACTCTCATTCTCCAAGGACAAGTCCCTACTGTGTAAGATGATCAGGTTAATCTTATCATTTAGACCAGTCTGGCTAAAGTTAAATCTTGGAAAGAAAGAAAGAAATTTAGCAACATGGATATAAGCAATAAAAGCAATCTGGGGAGACTTATTAGTAATTGTCAGCAACACTAAAGATACCAACTATTAGAATTGTGTGAGTGTTGGGGGTATTAAAATTTTTTAATTGTTTGATACTGGGTTTTTACATACACACACACACACACACACACACACACACAGAGGCTTCCCCAGCCCTACCCGCCTACTGATTCTTTAACTTTGGGAGCTTGCTTTTGAATCAAGGATCAGAGAAAATCATTCCGTTCCTCAGTGAGCACTTTCTAAGTGTTTTGCATGTGCTTATCTCATTTAATCCTTACGGTGAAACCATGAGGTATGTATTGTCATTGTTCTCATTTTCAGATAAGGAAATAGGCTTAGAAATATTGAATAACTTGCTGACGATCAAACATGTAGCGACAAATGGGTTCAGGACTGAAGACTTTCCACACCAACACTCCTCACTGCTTTGTAGAGAGCCCAGGAGAGACCTTTGAATGATGGTGGTTAAAGTAAAAATGGGAAAAATGTGTCCAGTGGATTACACATTTTAAAAAATTAGAAACCCCACAGCCTCTCTTTATAAGTAATAAATCAGCTGTGAACTGAAGAGGGGGTTTCTGGAGACTGTATGGTGATTCAGGAGCAAAGCAGGATTTCCTTGCCACCCTTCAAGTCTGCCTGATGCTATTTAAACTCTTCTCAGGCCTAGAGAGAAAAGAAAGTCTTCCCTACTTTTTACACAAAGATATTCTGATTCTGATACCAAAATCTGACAAAGCACACAGAAAAACCATGACCAAATATAAACATAAATACAAGCATCTTTGGGACTTCCCTGGTGGCGCAGTGGTTAAGAATCCGCCTGCCAACTCAGGGGACACTGGTTCAAGCCCTGGTCCGGGAAGATCCCACATGCCGCAGAGCAACTAAGCCCACAAAACACAACTACTGAGCCTGCACTCTAGAGCCCGTGAGCCACAACTACTGAGCCCACATGCCACAACTACTGAAGCCCATGCACCTAGAGCCCGTGCTCCGCAATAAGAGAAGCCACCACAATGAGAAGCCCGTGTACCACAATGAAGAGTAGCCCCCGCTCGCCGCAACTAGAGAAAGCCCGCATGCAGCAACAAAGACCCAACACAGCCAAAAATTAATTAATTAATTAATTAAAATATAATGTGCAAAATCATTATCTTTCCTACATACTAATTGTCATCAAAAAAACAAAATGAGTGGAATGATATCAGCAACATGGAGTGAAGAGCTACCTCTCTCTCTCCCCCCTTCAATCTACAATCCGTCAAACATCCACAACTCAACAAAGGCTCCTCTACCCAACACACCAGGACACTAGAGAATTCTAAACATCTGTATACCTAAAGGTGGGTAGACTGAAACACATAAAGGAGGCAGAACTGACTCTTACTGACTCTTACTGAGGCAGTAAGAATCTGCTTGCCAATGCAGGGGACAGGGTTCAAGCCCTGGTCCAGGAAGATCCCACATGCCGTGGAGCAGCTAAGGCTATGAGCCACAACTGCAGTCCAGAGCCCGCGAGCCACAACTACAGAGCCCACGTGCCACAACTACTGAAACCCACGTGCCTAGAGCCTGTGCTCCGCAACAAGAGAAGCCACCGCAATGAGAAGCTCATGCACTGCAACAAAGAGTAGACCCCGCTTGCCGCAACTAGAGAAAGTCAGCGCACAGCAACGAAGACCCAACACAGCCAACAATTAATTAATTAAATAATTTTTTAAAAAAGAAAGAAGTCAAAGACAAATACTCTATGATTTCACTTATATGTGGAGATTATATGTATTAAAAACTAATAAACAAAAACAAAATAAATGAACAAACCAAACTGGACAAAAACAAACACGTAGATATAGAGAACAGAACAGTAGTTTCCAGAGGGGGAGGGATGGGGGAGGGCAAAATGGGTAAAGGGCGTCAACTGTATGGTGATGTATGGAAACTAAACTTATGGTGGTGAGCATACTGTAGTGTATAGAGAAGTAGAAATTTAATATTGTACACACGAAACATATAATGTTATAATATTGTACACATGAAACATATAATGTTATATATCAGAATTACCTCAATTCAAAAATAATAATAAAAATAAATAAAAGGGGAGTTATTAGAAATCCTACACATAACAACAGGAAACAAAAGCACCTAGAAACAAACTTTTAAAATGTGCTATATCTATGTGAAGAAAAAGTCTACTAAGAGGCATAAATTAAGATTTCCATAAATAGAGTCATAATGCATGCTTTAGATGGGAAAACTCAGATTGTAAATATGACCATTTTGCCCAATATAATCTATCAATCTAACTTAATCTCAATAAAAATGCCCAAGTAGATTTCAGTGGGGGGTTGAGGGGGTTAGGAGATTCTTAAAGTTATCTAGAAGGATTAATGGAGGGGGGAAATAAAATCATGAAAAAGGTAAAGTGGCCCTTTCTTATCAGATATTAAATATACTACATAACTAAAACAATTTGGTACTAGCATTAGAAAAGACTAACCAATGGAAAAGGAGAATACAAAAAAACAGATCCAAGCCTACAGAGAAATTTGATTAATATGAGGGAAACCTTTCAAATAAAATAAGGAAAAGATAGATTATTCAATATATGGTGTTGGGGAAACTAGCTAGCCATTTAGAAAATGTATTAGCAACAGTAATAACTTATTGGTGCTTACCAGATGCTGAGCACTGTTCTAAATGCTGTACACATGTTAATTCATTTAATCTTCCTAACAACGCTCTGACATTGGTATTACTATCATACTCATTTTACAGATGAGGAATGTAAGGCACAGAAAGGTTAAGTGACTTGGCCATGCCACACAACTAGTAAGTGGCAAACCCAGAATTCTATTAAGAATTAAAAATTAGATATTTAAAGGCAAAAATTAATAGCCATTAAAAATATACATCTTTATTTTTCCAAAGAAGACATACAGATGGCCAGCAGGCACATGAAAAGATGTTCAGCATTGCTAATCATCAGAGAAATGCAAGTCAAAACCACAATCAGGGACTTCCCTGGGGGCGCAGTGGATAAGACTCAACACTCCCAATGCAGGGAGCCCAGATTCGATCCTTGGTCAGGGAACTAGATCCCACATGCATGCCACAACTAAGAGTTCGCATGCCACAACTAAGGAGCTCACACACCACAACTAAGGAGCCCACAAGTCACAATTAAGGAGCCCGCCTGCTGCAACTAAGACCCAGCGCAACCAAATAAATAAATACTTTTTAAAAAAACCACAATGAGATATCACCTCACACCTGTCAGAATGGCTA